TTATCACAACCCATATATACATCAATTGCATAAAGCACATTTGTACATTCATTGCCCTCATCATTCTCAAAACGTTTGCTCTCCACTTAAGCCAAGGGTTTTGAACTTTTGATTGTGAATTGGCTGAAAGTTTACAGAGCAAATCATCAGTTTAATAATACTTTTTTTAAAATTTAAAAGTAAAACAGAACATCAAGGGGGTAATGGAATCAAGGAGTTCAAGAAAGAAGAAAATGTTTGGAAACTGATTGTGACAGCGATTGTACAATACTGTTAGATAGGAGTGAACTATGGAATGGATTGATGTCTGGATTCACTCTGAATAAAATGAATTGGGGGGGGAAATTAGCTGGACTGACTCAAAACAGGAAAAAATATTAAGTAAATTATATGAAAAAAGAACCCCTCCAGACTGTTTATAATTATATGATGACCCATATATCTTTAGCACCTTCTCCAAAATGTTTAAATTCAACACAAATTGTCATCACAATAAGTGACAAACTGGAGCCTCTGCAGAAAGATGGTCCTCTCAAACATCAGTGTTTCTCTAGATGTACGATACCTAGTTATTCTCCTTCTTTTGAAGAACGAGAGGTATAACGAGCCCAGGAAATCTTAAGCCAGTAAGAAAAGGCCTGAAAAACTTCCTCTGTATGTAGCTAATCAATTCAGTAATAAAGACTGGTACCTCTTACAGGAATAGTATTAGAAAAGTGCTCGTGGTCAACAGTGCATCCAGAGTCAGTACTGTACAGAAACAGAGGGCAGGTTCCAAGAGTCCATTGTGAAAGGAGCCTTATACTCGTAGGCAGAATAAACCAAGTCAATACTTTCCGGTCGTTTTTTTCTGTAACATATGCCCATCATTTCCAGTAGTGGGAAATTACTAACAAATAGAGTCACCAGTGACCACAGAAAGGGCCTTGGTGGTGCAATGGTTAAGCGCTCCCCTACTAACCAAAGTTGGTGATTTGAACCCCAACAGCCATTCTAAAGGAGCAAAATGGGCCAGTTGACTTCAGTTCAGCTTTGGAAATCTATGGGGCAGCTCTACTCTGTCCTGTAGAGTTGTGATGAGTCAGAACGATGGCTTTCGGTTTGGTGATAACTCTATTCGCTGGTGTCACCGGTGGCTTTTCCTTGGCGACTAAGCTAAGGGTTGGTGGTTAGAACCCACCTAGCAGTAAGCCTTGGAGAAAGGTCTGGGCGTCTTCTTCCATTCGATTAAAGACATGAAATCGCCATGGAGCGGTTCTACTTGGTAACACATGTGAGCTGGAATTGACTCACCAGTCGCAGACTTTGATTCCTGGGGCACAAATTAAGGGAAGCACGTGAGAGGTTGTAAACTTCAGCCCTGTGCTTGCGTGTCACTAATCATGCTAACGTGCTTCTCTTGCATGTTATCCAGACGCTCACCACGTACCCCATCACGACCCTGTGCAGTGCTCCCACCGTGTACCGAATGCTTGTGCAAAAAGACCTCAAGAGGTATTTGGGCCGAAATCTCCAGCGGAACCACAAGAAAAGCTTTCTTCCAGCGTCACGGATTTGCACAGGAGGGGCTGGGGTGTCTCTGTCCTGACACAACTGACATAGGGGTCAATTGTGCTGTGTTTGGGGCGCCCAGATGTGTGATGTTGACCAGCATTCCTGACTTCCTCCCCAGAATTTTGGCAACTTAAAATGTCTCTAGATAGAGTCAAATGTCCCCTGGTGGGCAAAATCCCTCCCCATAGTTAAGAACCCCTGGGATAGTGTTTAGGTACAACTGGATTTGAACCCCCAGGACAGCGTATAGTCCCAGCGCTCCTGCCCCACAAAACACTGTCTCCTAATACCACTTCCTGGTGGTGTAGTGGTTTAGCGTTAGCCTGCTAACTGCAAGTTCAGCAGTGCAAACCCAATAACCACTCCTTGGAAGAAAGACAGGGCTGTCTACTCCCGTAAAGCATTAGTCTCAGAAACTCACAGGGGCAATGCTACTCTGAGTAAGTAGGTCACTATGTGTGGCATCAACTCAATGGTAGTGAGAGAGAGAGAGAGAGGTACCACTGGAATATGAGAACTACCTCAAAAGAATGGGTAGTCTGTTTTTTAAAACTACATTTATATTTCATTGAAGAGAAGCTAAAGAAATCTTATTTGGTTATATTCAATTTAGTCAAATCACCTGCACATTTAGATTTCTTTAATACAAATTGAGGAGAGAAAGGAAGAGAGAAACATGTAAGTAAAGTCACCCTGGCTCTTCCGGCTCTGCTCCTGCTAAGCTCTGGCTCCTTAGGAGGGAGAGTGCAGCGCTGAAAGAAAGACTACGGCAGATCCACACCTCTGAGTCAGTGGCCACCCTTCTGGGGGGCCTTTAAAATATCAGCATCTTGCTCACACTTCAAGAATGAATCAGAGATGAATCAAGGATGACTTTGAATACACACAGTTTGTGCCCTATCCATCCCTTCCCACCCATTTGGGCCTTTATCAGCATTGGGCTATTCCATAGTCTCTAACCTAAGTCCCATGGACAGCTCAGTAGTAAGGTCAGTGGTTGAAATTCCATCTCCAATGCCAAACAGCCAGCAGCTTGCTATTTATTAATATTGTGATTTTAGATAGTCAAGATGACCCTGCTAAGCCTCTGTTAACTCCATCCATAAAGAAGAAGTCCTGGTTAGCCACTTAGCCGCTAACTAAAAGGTTAGTTCTTCAATCCCATAGATTGCTTCACAGGAGAAAAGATATGCCTATCTGCTTTCCTAAAGATTACAGCCTAGGGAACCCTATGGGACAGTTCTACCCTATCCTCTAAGGATCACTATCCTCAAGTCCACTGTGGGTTGGACTTGACCATTAAGATACACCTCAAAGAGATGTGGTAAGAATGCTACGTTTACAGCATTCAATGCTGATCAAAGGTAAGTGCCATCGTACAGAGAATCCTCCTTGGCCATTTATTATTTGGGATGTCTTGAGCAAGTCCTTTCACTTCCCTGAGCCTCTATCTCCTCATGTGTACATTGGATTAGTTTACACAGGGATTGTAAGAGCACTCTTATAGAGCCTTACAGCGTAGCAAACAACCCATGAATGGCAATAACACGCTGAATAGTCAGCATCATTATATGTCCTCCCACCCTTTCCCTTTGGAACAACTAACTTCCCCTTCACCGATTAGAATGTAAGTGCTGTCTGGTACCCTGTTTTTCACCACAAACATGCCCCACACGCCTACAATAACATCTGGTTGTAGCAGGTCCTGAACAATATTTATTGAACCAACTTTCCTAAGGCCTGCCTCCCAGCTCATTGGTTTGAATGTCTTCACTGCAGGAAAGTCACTGGGATTGCTCCTCCCTGGGACTCCATGCCGCTCTTTCTCTCTCTCTAGATACAAATTCAAGAAGCTAAGACACTGTTTGACTGGAGGGGAGCCTCTCAACCCAGAGGTGCAGGAGCAGTGGAAGGCGCAAACTGGGCTGGAGCTGTATGAAGGCTACGGACAGACAGAAGTGGTATAGTTAAAGGGCAATGCCTGGATTTCCCATCACAAGAACCTTTCAGCCCTGAGACACTTTGGACTTCCTGTGGGTTCCTTCTGGTTGCTCCCCCTACTCCCTCAACCCTGCGGAGAAGTTGCATTTCCACCCCAGATGTTCGCTCCCCAGCTGGGAATGCAGTGTCAGCAGGGCTCTAACCCCAATAAACCAGATCTAAATTCTGCTCTTCAAAGTGTCTCCACCACACACTACATTTTTATGATGTTTCCCAGAACACTTACCTGTCCAGCAGTTACCAAGACTTAGGTCGGTTGAAGGGGGGGTATGAAGATTCAAGTCTCGTACCCAGGAGCAGCTCAGGGATGGTAGGAGAGACAGGTACTCTCCAGCACTCTTAGCAACACCACTGACCTGAGAAGACCCTCCTCCTGGAGCCTCAGAGGGGAATGTATTCTGGGATGCACTCAATGGTCCTCTGAGCCAACAGCAATCGTTTCCGGGTTGTGGTCCTCAAGCCAGGAGCAGTGGCAGCTGGGAACTCTGTAGAAATGCCCAGTTCTCAGGCCCCACCTCAGGTTGACTGAATCGGGAACTCGGGCTGGGGCTGAGCAATCTGTTTTAACAATGTTCCCAGTGCCTCTACTCCATGCTCAAGTTTGACAACCGTTTGTCTGAGATAATATATTCCAAAACAAAAGTTGTGCTTGCATACGAGAAAGCCATGTTTCTCTCTCATATGTAGATAACAAAATTCTCATTTGGCTTGCATATAAAATATGTCTTTCTCAACAGGGAATCATTTGTGCCAATCAGAAAGGGCAAGAAATTAAAGCTGGCTCAATGGGGAAAGGCGTACTACCTTACGACGTCCAGGTAGGTTAAGAAACTGGTCCAGTAAAGAGAGAATGCCTTGCGCTTTTCTGCTACTCTTGACCCAACTATTCATAAGCTGATCTCATTTCATGGAGAGAAACTTTTTTTT